ATATATATATATATATATATATAATTAGAACATCCTAATGTTTTGTTATTTGCATTCATAGGAAAAGTTACAAGAAATTGATAATGATTCATATTTGCCTACGCCAAGTAATTTGAGAGAAGATGCTATAACAAAGGTATTGGGTCTTGCCAAAGGTGGACACATGAAAGGACTAAGAAAATGTGTAACTCTTATACAATTGTCCATAATAGCTCAAAGGGACAACATTACCTTCACCAACTTGGGAATTAGCTTTTTAAACCCACTATCTTCATTTCCTATAATTGCAATGGAGATTTCACTTTTAAAGTATGTGTGTTTCTAAATAAGTTTAAAATTGTATATATTATTTTTAAAAGTGATAATAATATATTAATTAAATATTTATAAAATTACAAAGTAATATTTCATTAAAATTGTATATATGTTATGAAATTATAAAAAATATAATTTCCCCAAACGAGGAAAAAAACTGAAAAATTGTAGAAAAAAGAAAAATATCTGAAAAAAAAAATTAGTTGGCTGGAATCTGTAACGCCCCACTTGAGGTACGTAGTTAAGATTCGGTGTATTGCTTAAATGTTTATTAGTTCAGATTCAAGTAAGTTTATATGTTGTTATTTTTGTTTGGTTGGTCCTTGGTTGAATGGATGTATTGGTTTGGTTGAGTGGTTGCCCTAAAAATTATGAAAACTTGGCAAAGAGGTGCTGCAGCTCATGGAGTAGCTGTTGGAGTGTTTCGCCGCGGTGAAGGATTTGTCTTCGTCGCGGCGACGGGTCGGCTGAAAAGTGTTATTAAGTTTTAGATATTTTGTTCCTTAAGGCAATTTGACCATTCTATCCCTAATTAGCAGGAAAAGTGGGGAGTAAAATGTAAGGAAATTTCATGGAGAATATGTTAGTATGGGGGTGTGATTGTAAGGAATCAAAGGATATGAATGGAATTTCTAAGAAAGAGCAAGGGCAAAATGGGGATGTTTGTGTATAAGTTGAGCTAAAAATGGTTAAGTGTAGAGAACCCTTCATTTCATCCATTTCCACCGCCTCTTCCATTCTCTATTTTCCTCTCAAATTTCTTTCAATATTCCAAGGATTTCTAAGGACTTTTTGAGTAGTTTTTTTTTGTAGAAGTTTAATCTAAAGCATCCTAAGGTAAGGATTCTTGCTTTAGATGAGAATTTTCTTATGTTTTGGCTAGAGTCTTATGTTGTTGTATTGTTTAAAGTTGTAGAGAGGAGACAAGATTCAAAAGGGAAGGAGAAGTGCTAAAGAAGCCATTTTCCTCACAAAGTAAGTAAATCCAACCCAAGTGAGATTTAAGAACTCCTTTGAGTGGAGATTTATGTATGAATGTGTATTCATTATATCAATTGAGATGAGATGGATGTTATTTATGCTTGTTATTGCATATACTTAAATATGAGAAGTGTTGAGATTACTTGATGTTGGGTTGAGTTTGATTGAAGTGGAATGAAGTTTTGAGCAAACTTATAAAAGTGTTTTCCTTTGACAGGGAAATTAGAGAGTATAAGGGAGCCTCTTTCCCATTTTGGATGATTAAAGAAAAGAGAAAAGTTATAGTTAAAGTAGAGCTTTATATGTACATGAATTGTATGATGAAATGCTCAAGAGAAGCATCAGTAAGAGTAGAAAGCCTTAATTTTTGCTCATGGCATCATTGCATCCCATAAGTGCATTAATGAGCATGAGTCATCTATATGCATTAATTATGCACTAGAGAAGACAGAAGATAGTAGAGAAATTGAGTATAAGCTACTCTAAAAGTAAAGAGAATGAGAGAGAATGAGCACTAGAAATCAAAGAGAAAGTAGTGCTAGACAAGAGAATAGAGTAGGTTGTGCGATGGAGAACCTGTGAGTAATGGGTAGAGTATTCCCGCATGTACGCCACCTTGAGAGAGCAGCATGAGTATGAGAGAGAAGTGGTATAGCTCGTGAGAGTGCATGCGGATGAGGGCTATACCCGAGTTTACCTGAGAGAGAGATTATGTACTCACATGGCCAAGGGTTCCGAATCCATGCATAACCGAGTCCGATCGGCTAGAATGAGTAGAAGTCACAGAGAGTGGGAGCGAGTCCCAACCGTGCCTCCTGTAAGATGGGGTCGTGACTTACTAAAGAGAGTTTGTAGAAAAGAGTTTTAAGAAAGAGAAACAGAGATAGAGAAACCGAAAGAGAAAGCAGAGAGAGTAAACAAGAATTATAAGGAAAGAATTGAGGAGAAAGAGTTACAAGGATAAATGAGTAGAGGATTTACTTACTGAGCATTGTTTTGTGCTCACCCCGTTGTTTCCTATGTTTTTGCAGGATCTAGATGAGGACACAGTCGGATGGATGTCGGCAAGCGAGGGGAAAGGGCTACACTGTCCACCTTATTGTTCATAGTTTTGTATATGATATGAGTTTTGTACAAAGAATATATATGTTTAATAAAAGAAAAATTTGGGCCCAACTTTTTATGCATATTTTATGAGATACTTTTTATGTTATTTTACATGTATTTTACTATATATATTTTATGAGAATACGAGTAGAAAGCAGTCATTACAGTATTCCACCATTGCGAACCGTCATTCCTAACACCAACGGTCACTTCGTATAGCTTTAGGGTTTCTAGGATAATCATTCCACCATCACGAACGGTCATACCACCATCGCTCACGGTCATTCCACTGCGGAGAGCGATCAGTCTATTGGCTCTTTACAAATCCATTAAAATTCCAAAAACATGCACGACTTCCTGGAACGATGACGTTCTGCCAAGAACGATCTCTAAGTAGAAATGGTCATTTCACCATGAGGAACGATTGTTCCACTTTAGATACATGAACTTCAATTTAATCTTCAAGGCTTGACTTCCAAGATTCGTCAAAGGCGAGAAATGTTTGAATTCTAAGTACTTTAACTTTTGACTTGAATGGAACAGGCATGTTGTTTGGTGGTGTCGTTGCGAGTGACTTGACTTCATTTTAAACAGAAGCATGCACGATCATGTGGAATGATGTCGTGCGGCGAGGACATGCATATGGGTGTATTTGTTTTGCGTTGGTGTGGATCTCAGTTCTGGTTCTAGCAATGATGGAACCGAAATCGAAACCGCATAGTACCGATTCCAATTTTTGAGAATCGGAACCAATCCTATGAGGACTAGTTCCGAGTAGGAATCAGAATCAGTTCTAGTTTTCAAATGAGTACAAGAGAGTGATGATTTTTATTTGGATTTTTAGCTCAAGGGATTTTGTGAAAATGTTTTTTATATGACTTTGTATCTCTGATATTGTCTCTCTTTGTTTCTTTGCAATAAAATGCTCTATTTATTGCTCATTACTTCCCTTTGAATCAAAGAGTCATTGTTGCATTTAATGCAAATCTGAAAAGCCTATAGACACAGTGTTCCACCATTGCAAATTGTCGTTCCTAACACCAACAGTCATTCGTATAGCTTTAGGGTTTCTATGATAATCATTCCACCATCACGAACGGTCATACCACCATCGCTCACAGTCATTCCACTGCGGAGAGCAATCAGTCTATTGGCTCCTTATAAATCCATTAAAATTCCAAAAAACATGCACGACTTCCTGGAACGATGACGTTCTACCAAGAACGATCTCTAAGTAGGTACAGTCATTCCACCACAAGGAACAATCGTTCCACTTTAGATACATGAACTTCAATTTAATCTTCAAGGCTTGACTTCCGATATTCGTCAAAGGCGAGAAATGTTTGAATTCTGAGTACTTTGACTTTTAACTTAAATGGAATAGGCATGCTGCTTGGTCATGTCGTTGCAAGCAACTTGACTGAGTTGAGAGAGGAAAAATGCTCAAAGTTTTATAGTGATTCGAAGCTCTATCCACAAGCCTCCTACATCTATTTTTTCAAGACAACCTCCTTGAAGTAACACTAGAATCAGATTGCACCAAAAGCACTAGTTTGACAGGATTTCGCCCATAAAATGTATGAATAAAAGTATGTGAAAATTTGCTTCTTAAACTAGGCTTAAACACATAACAAGAACAATACTCTCAAAGGTTTTCAAATGAGTACAAGAGAGTGATGTTTTGATTTGGATTTTTAGCTCAAGGGATTTTGCGAGAATGTTTTTTATATGACTTTGTATCTCTGATATTCTCTCTCTCTGTTTCTTTGCAATAAAATGTCCTATTTATTGCTCATCTCTTCCCTTTGAAGCAAAGAGTCGTTGCTGCATTTAATGCAACTTTGAAAAGCCTATAGACACAGAGGAACGAGTGTTCCACCATCGCGAATGGTCGTTCCTAACACCAACGATCACTTCGTATATCTTTAGGGTTTTTGGAATGATCATTCCACCATCACGAACGGTTGTACCACCATCGCTAACGGTCATTCTACCACGGAGAACGATCGGTCTATTGGCTCCTTACAAATCCATAAAAATTCCAAAAACATGCATGAGTTCCTGGAAATGATGACGTTCTGCCAGGAACGGTCATTCCACCACGAGGAATGGTCATTCCACTTTAGATACATGAACTTCAATTTAATCTTCAAGGCTTGACTTCCAAGATTCATCAAAGGCGCGAAATGTTTGAATTCTGAGTACTTTGACTTTTGACTTGAATGGAACGGGAGTGCTACTTGGTCGTGTCGTTGCGAGCGACTTGACTTCATTTTGGACAGAAGCATGTACGATCATGTGGAACGATGTCGTGCTACGAGGAGCGTGCATCTGAGCAACTTTGTAAAACAATAAAAGGTCGTTCCTTTGTCTTACACGTTCGTACCAATTGGGAAAAGTGCATTTTGTTTTTTGTTATTACTTCTTGTCATACCTTAGCATATTTGTTAGAGAACCAATCAACCCAATCAACTCTGTTTTTCATTTGACCCTCTGTTTCTTCTTTTCACAAAAAAAAAAAAATATATATATATAGGTTTTTAATTTGAGTAAGACATGTGGGACTGTGGGTAGTGTATTTGTTTTGCTTTGGTCTGGATCTCAATTTTGGTTCCAGCAGTGGTGGAACCGGAACCGATCTTCTGAGTAGGAATAGGCACCAAAACCCCAGGTACATATCGATTCCAATTTCGATCGGTTCTTTTGCACACCCTATCTCCGAAACCATTGCATAAATTGCTAAATGACTAGTGGTGTTGACCCACATACCCCTAGCATGTTCGACGTCGACGACTAATCAGCAACTCCATTGATCAATTTTAAACATTTTATTTCTAATATTTTTTTTATTTTTATTAATCCCCAAAAAATAGCTTTTGAATTGTAAAAGCTAGAAAATGGTCATAAACTTAAAATAGAGACTTCTTGGATAACATTATAAATACATGAATAAGAGGAAATAAGAATTAGATACTAGAAGTAATTAAAAAAAAAAAGTGGTTATAATCTGTTCTATCATGTTTAGTTTTCTTTATCTTGTAAAATGTAAATTAGAGGGAGACAAGCAAAGCCTTTATGAAATGACAATTTGTTACTCCCCTTTCAAGACCATCCACTTCCTTTTCATCAACAATTTCCACATACAATACAATGCTCCTCTCTGCAGTTACTCCCCAATCTCTTCTTTCAAACCCTAACACTCACACTTGTAATTTCCTCTACTCCCCCAATTCTAACAAATTCCACTCGTCTCTCAAGTCTAAACCACTATTTGCCCCCTCTTCTTCTCTTACCACCAACAGTACCTCCCTCCGCCACGTCACACGCACGGTCTCCGACGATGAGCCTGGTAGAGATGCTCTTACGGTGACCTCCGCTTCCGCTATTGCCTCTGCTATTCGCCGAATATCAACGTCTCCCGTCGAGTTCCTTCAGAGAATCGAGGATGACCAGAAGACCTCTAATTTGGTTCTACCTAGTCCGGATTTTCAGAAACTTTGTGTCGAACAGCTCGACCTCTTTCGAAGGATTGTTGATTCCGATGCAATCGTCTCCGTCAGTTCGTCTCTCTATTTGCTTCTTCTATTTATTCACACATTTTTTTTTTTTTAAATTGTGAAATTAATTAACTTTAAAAAAAACACAAGTGTTCAGGTTTATGTGAGGCCAGCTGGTAGTTATGTGATGGACCGACTAGAGCTGCGGCGTGTGGTTAGTTATCCTGGTGTGAACGCAAACGACATTGTGATATTGGTTGGCAATTTTAGCGTGCCAACCGGATTACGTGCTGCCGAAGCTGCACTCTCTAGTAAACAAGTATGATCAATCAGTTATTAAAAAAAACCTTGCTTTTCGGTTAGTGAAAGTCAAGGTAGTTACTATTTCTGACAATTGGTAACTTAAAGTGCTGTATTCAAAATTTAGGTACAAGTTGTGCCTGAACAAGGGGCCGTGGTTTTCCCGTTGGTAAAGCAACCATTTGTGGTGGGATTCTTGGTTGCGGAGCTAAAAATGATGGAGAGTGAAGGGGGTGACTTGATTCCGAGCTTGTCACCTGAAGAAGCCTATGCACTGCCTCCTGGTTCAAATACGAAATCGTGGGAAATTGAGACTTTTGATAATGAGAGAATGAGAATGTATAAGTTTACGGCTGAACAGAAATTGAATGCAGTTAATATATGTCGGTCTCTTGCCATGGCATATGTTATGGATCAGGTAGATTACGGTGGTTAAATCGTAGGAACTTTGTAAAATAGCTGTTTATATGTAGTGCTTGTTTGTTAAATCAATACCAGATTGATGCTTGCTTTCTTTTAGTTGGCAATGCAGTTCATATGATCTTTTCATTGACATCATGATCATATGTTGAATGTGTGCTACTTATGACCATGCTCCTTTAGCTTACATCCTTACTGTCATTCTAAACTGATAGTATAACAGTATTGCGATGCTAAACTGATAGTATAACAGTATATAGCATATAGTTTATGTGCTTGCTTTGGAGAGAAATAATATATTTTACCTTCAAATTTTTTATAGATTGATGTTTATTACAATGTTTTCCTTGTTTCGTATTTTGCACAGTTTTTATTCATTTAAAAATATGACATCCTTGCTCTTTTTTCCTCAGAAATCAATGTTACTTCAGCAATCCTCATGGCAAAATAATTTGAGGATGAATAATCTGGTTGAGCAAGTAATATTTCTCGCTTACTTTTTGTTTCTTTCTTTTTCTTCTTCTCCTTTTTTATTGGTGCTGCACTTGTTTAGTGTAGTTATTGTGGTATCCCTGTCTTTATAATCTCACAGATTCGTGGTCCACTTTCGAGCATTCAGACTTTAAGTAACATGTTATCCCTTCAGTTGAAAAGAAGTGAGGTTTGTGCACTTTTGTCACCTGGGATTTTTCTTTTTAAATTTCTTTGTGATTTTTTTTTTTTCAATTAAAAAGTAAGAGTGAAAACTTGTTCGCGCAGATTTCTTATGATATTGTTGAAAATATTAAAGTGGAAGGTGATCGTATAAGAGATACCCTTCAAGAACTCCAGGATGCTGTTCACTTGACAAAGGTAATACATGACCCCCATTCTCTATCACACTATCTCAAACAAAGTCAGAAAATTGACTTCTTTAATCTTCATCTGCATGGATTTCTTTTTTCAACATAATATTATTCTGTCAAGGATGTTTTTTTCAAATTCATTCTCTTCGTTAATTTTTCTTATAGCTTTGAGGGCTTTCTGTTTTCCAGTCATCAAATTCTGATATTGTTGAAATCATCAATTCAAATGTGATAGCTGATGAAATTGGAACTTTGAAGCTAACTTGAATTAACTTCACGTTGTAGTATTTACTTTAATTCTTTAGCAGAAATTTTGTTAAGATTATTTATCTGACATTTTTGTGGTAATCTTTAGGCTAATATTGTGCACTATAATGAAGAAAGTTTGAAGAAAATGCACAATTCTACATTTGCCCATCTTGAGTCAATCAGGTCTCAACTATCTGATAAGATTGGAAGTGATAGTTCCAGCAGTAAATTGCAAAATTCTGGTAAACCATTATTTCTAAGTTCGACAACCCATGATTTAGAAATGCCCATGCCACCTCTGGCCCTTGCTCCTTTAAAACAACATGGAATTAGGTAAGTTTTTGAATGAAAATTTTGATTTTCGTCACCTAGCCTGATTTGATTTTGCAGCATGCAGATAATTTGAAATATTTAATTTAATCTGTTTTCAAATTTAAAATTATATCTTTTTGCTTATGCTCTTCTTCACGTCAGGAAGACCATGCAATGTTTCTGATGTGTTGGTGGATTTGGTTGAGGCGGTGATACCTCTTGCTCATATGCAGCAACGTGTGGTGGAACTAAGTGAACGCTCGCAATCTTTGCAAGTTGCTGTTGAAGAACCGGCTTTGCGTCAGGCTTTGAGCAACTTAATTGAGGGAGCATTATTGCGTACCAATGTTGGGGGAAAGGTTGAAATTGTGTCTGCTGCAGCTCCAGCAGGTGGTGCTCTAGTAGTAATTGATGATGATGGGCCAGATATGCACTATATGGTAATAATGGCGAACTCTCCTCTACTCAAAATATTGCTTCTATATTTCAAATTAGAGATTGTGGATATCTGTGGAGTATTTTTTATTTAGAACATAACATGCCTTGGTCATATCTCCCCATTTTCATTGGGATGCGAATGTTGCAAGGCTTTAAGTTATATACTAAAATATCATTTCAATGTCCAAGGAACCAAAACTTTGCAGAATGTGTAAACTTTTAGTGGGATAGAGAATTTGCTTTTGGTCCAGTAAGTTTTTAAGACTTCCAAAAGAAATTTTGATTTTGTCTGTATCTTAAGAATCATTTCTTATATTTGGTGGAGGCTTTTATAGGTAATGCTCTTTTAATAGAAAATGCAAATAGTAAATCGCTAACAATGATTGTAGATTCATTCGCAATGTCAGTCTCGGGATTATGAGTTTTTAATTAAGAATTGAGCTTGTAAATGATTTCCTGGCATAAAGATACCATGCTCATGAGCACAGATATAAGCTTGTTCCTGTAGACCTACCTTATTTATGTGCAGATCCAATTTGGTCCTTCTGTCTATTAAAGTTATTTGTTGGTGGCCTTGTACACAGACACAGATGCATTCACTCACACCTTTTGGGGTAGAACTCTTCTCGGAAAACATGGTTGAAGACAATATGACATGGAACTTTGTTGCTGGACTGACTGTAGCTCGTGAGCTACTTGAAAGTTATGGATGTGTTATCCGTGTCATATCACCTCGTACTTCAGATGCTGCCCTAGGATCTGGTGGAACACGTGTAGAACTCTGGCTTCCTTCTTTTGCTGCATTATCTGATTAAAAAAGGTGTTGCTTATGAGGCATAGCGAGAAAGGGGAGTATGTGTAGATGCTCTTATTCAACAGAATAAATCCGGATGAGCGCAGGTTAGTATAAATTTTGAAGCTAAATGTCTTCTTGTACCAAATTCTATTAGATTCTTGTCTATATGTTGTATTCTTACTGTATATGACAGTTGTAAATAACAAGTTTTAGGTTTGATTGGAAGCCATATAACTTAATGAATTGTTATAGCATCATCTTTGTACATAAAAAGGTTTTACATAAAGAGGATATAAAAAAGATGATGTAGCCCTTAACCAACACATTATTTCAGAAATTTATTTAGGATTGGATGGATTGTTCCTGCACCTAATATTAGCGGGAAGCTGGAACTTTACTTTAAGATCCAACGAACCCAATTGAAGACAAAAAAAAGAAGACCCAATGAATTCTCACTTGATTCTAGGCGAAAATCTGCCACCGCATCCGGTTCATAAGGGATGCTATTCAAGCAAAGTAGGAAGTGGATTGGCCCACGGGCCACTTGTTCAAAAAAATAAAAACGAAAATTGGCAATGATTATGATATTATCACTAGCTCCCATCTTTTGTTTTAGTGAATACTAAAAAATTGTGAGATTGATTAAGGAATATTATATTATTGAAAATATTATATTAATAGAAAGATAAATTACTTTGAAAATTACTAAAAATGTTATATTAAATATGTTTGGGTAATTGGAATAAATTAGTGATATGTTATATAGATTACTTTATTGCCTTTTTTTTAATATTATTATTATTTAGATTATTTTTTAACCTCCTACATTTGAGATTTTGCTAAAACACCCTAACTATAATAAAAGTTTAAATTTTAACCAAAAAAACCCTACCCATCAAAGCCACTCTTCGTCGTTGGCCACCACCATCGTCTGTGGCTTGAACAGTGCACGATTGGTTGGGTATGATCAGTCGTACATCGATCTAGCCGTTTCCTGTCAGATCAATGATCATGGATCTAGCCGAAAACAGTCATATCCATTCTAGCCGAAAACAGTCAGATCCATGGCCATCTGGCTGTTAACTGTCAAATCCATGACCATTTGGCCGTTAACGGTCAAGTTACATCTGGCAAAAAACGGCTAGATCGACGCACGATTGGTCAGATCCGGTCGGTTGATGACCAACAATGACGGCTGGCGGTGGTGGCCAGATCCGACCATCTATCTTAGGTAATTTGGTTCAAGTTCAAGGGTGATAACGTCTCAAAATTTTTATGTATAAGGATAAAATAGTTTATGAGTATTCTTGTAAATTGTGGTAAGAACAAGGGTATATTGTCCAAATATTTAATAGTTTGGAGTAAAATTATAACAAAATTAAGATTACCAAGTAATCTTAAAATACTTAAGAAAATAGTGGTATTCAGATTACTACATATATTATTGGTTTTGAAAGATTACCATAATTTTTTATTACTTTGCAGTCAAACATGGTAATGTAAGTAATATAAGTTGACATTACTAGATTAATGCTAAATATCCTTGAACCAAATTCATCCAAAGAGTAATAGAAGATAACATTTTTTTTTTCCCTGTGATCAGGGGTATCCGAGCCAGTTTGCACACACCTCGACTAATCCCTCAAGACCCTGAAATTAACAACCATGTATACTCTTTAATAACCATCCCTATTAGTAATCGAGGTGACCCGAACTCAAGACTGCTTGAGTAATATATCCAAGAGTCTTTGCCCAACCACTTATCCACCCAATAACTCTACGTTAATTTTACTCTTTAGTATAAAACTTAAATAATAGTTAGACTACTGTAACATAAATTATTGACTTAAAATAAGACACAAATTAGCTACCCTCGCAGAATTTCTAGAAAGAACTTTTGTATTTCTTTTCTAAGTGAGAGTAGAATACAATTCAACGCCTCACTCTTTTATATACAGCACACATGAGTGAGTGACGACGATGAAGGAAGCTGGAGTACTTAATGAGGTGTCAAACGACACGGTTTCTTTACAGCAACAAACAAGTGCTTAAGTTTTACAGGGCCAGCACTTCAGAACTACAGCTTTGCAAAATCAGCTCTGGGCAACATTCCCCCTCAAACCAAGCTCCTCTCCAAAACTAGACAACATTCCCCTCAAATCAGACCCCATACTTGTTGGCCTTTGGTTTTCTTTCAATCTTTCTTTTCCTTCATTGCCTTTGCTTCACTGTAAAACTTCATCAAGAACTAATAAACCATCTTGCAATCTCAGCTAAACTGCAACTAAATTGTAACTAAACTGTATATGTAATCTTTGTAAACCTTCATAAAAAAAAAAAAAAACTCTGCACAGGGCTGCACTGCTATCAGACTCCAATTGCAACTCTTTTGCTTAAATTTCAGCACAACTAAAAGACAATTAACCGCAACTCATCAGCACAACAACAAAAAAAAAAAAAAACCTCACACATCACACTGCATCATTCTGAGCTGCGCAACTAAAAATCTGCATAAATAAAACAACCAACAGCACATATCATACTGCACCATTCTGAGCTGCAATTCACCAGCATTCTGAGCTGCACAACTAAAAATCTGCATAACTAAAAACAATCAACATCACACATCATACTGCACCATTCTGGACTGCAACGCACCAGCATTCTGAAACATTGCTCTTTTGAGGCTAACTTTAAGATACTTGTTATCTTTCATATGGAATTTTCAAATACTATTGGACTTGTATTTTGAGTGAGAAATAATCAGATTCATCATAGCCACGAAATTGAGAATTAATTTCTTTTGTTATGAGTAGAAACCCGAGTCTATTGGTGTAATGTTGTAAGAGAAGAATTTTTCTTCATTTAATTCAATAGAATATAAAAGTTTTATGAGAAATTTGAAAAAAAGAAAAAAAAAACTATTTAGGTTTTTTTTTAGTTAGGTTGATGATCCAGGAATTTTTTGAGTACTTGTTTTTTATTATATAAGTAGTAAAATAATTGAATGCGAATAATATGTAAACTCTTTTTAATCAAGTTTATATGAACCATGATTAGATTTAGATGTATGGTAATTAATTTGTGTCTTATTTTAAGTTAAAGATTTGTGTTAAAGTAGTCACCCCTTAAATAAAGTTAGAGCAATGCTATGTAGGGATGAGCACGGGTAGCTGGTAGAACTGAAACCTGCAGATAGAATTGGAACCTACTCAGAACCAATACTATGCGAGTAGATTCCGGTTCCATTTTATTGGAACCAACACTATGCGGTTCAGATTCTGATTCCGGTTCCTACAGGTTCTAGAACAGAAACCTGGGAAAAGAACTTGAACCGGGTACCCAGCTTGGAACCTGTTTGTGTTTTGGCTTTGATTGAGAAATTTTATGTGAATTGTGATGAATTGATTGAATTTAAGTATTGCCTAAAGATTATAGAATTTATGAGTTATATTTGATACAAATGAATGAGTAATCAAAAGTTGAAAACTATTAAATGTATGTTTTCTTAATTTGTTAGGGGAATATTTGTAAACTTTTAAGGTATTTTTGTCATTTTTTAAACTAATAGGGGGGTATTGATTTTTTACAGGGTACCCGAGTAAGGAACCGGAACCTGCATTATAGGTTCTGATTTCCTTTTTTGGGAACCTGCACTGTGCAGTTCCGGTTTCCCCGAAAAATGCAGGGTACCTGAAATTGCTCAACTCTAAATTGTTATGCTTACAACTGAGTCATACAAACAGACAAAAAACAAATAACAGAGTAGTCATTTTACATAAATTTTGTCCAATTTTTGTTTATTTGTATGACTTAATCATAAGTAAAACATTATTGATAAAGTTAATGTTAATTTCATCTACATAAAATATGTGTTACCTATGAGATTGTTACGTGCCAGAGTTTGTGACCTTGTAACGGGTTTATGAATGGGTAGAGAACAAGGATCGTTCTTGCGTACTCTACCTATGATGGAATTTTGTAGGACACTTCAAGGGATCCTAGGCCTCCTTACTTGATTTAATTCAAGAAAAATCACAACTCCAAATCAACACAAGGTTGAAGATAATACTAATAAGATAATATTCATTCTTGGCCTCAAGCTATTAAATAGCTTAATAGCTTTTGATGGAATAGGCAATAACCCATGATTACAAAAAAAGAAAATTATAATCGGATAATTCTAGCACAAATTGATTGAAAGGAAATAATATTGATTGAAAGGAAATAACATGAATTTAATTATTGATGGTAAGCATCAATCACTCCCATTCCATGATTCTTGGTCCTTACGGAGATCACTTAATTATTGAGAAAATAAAAGATTTTTTAGTTCATTGTGAAAAAAAGATGAAATTAAAGCATCTCCAATTATGCTATTTATTTTAAAGAGTATCTTTCATATAAATAAAGAGCATCTTTATTAATTTTAAAATATAAAGAACACAAGTTTTATTTAAATCCAATAGACTCTTTAAATTTAATGAAGATGCTCTTTATTTTTAAGAAAGAGACTTAATAGGAGAGAGAATTAATAAATAAAATGCATAGAAAGTTGTAGTTTATTAATTAAAATTATGATAGAGAGTGAAATTTGACTCTCTAAATGTGGAGAGTCAAACTCACTCTCAATTTTATATTTTAAAGATACTCTTGTTTGTATGGATAAACTATTTATAATAAAGAGTTTGAGTCATATAAAGAGTCATTTGGAGATGATCTTATATAATTAACCCAAAATTAAAAATCTCTTAAAAATTAAATTATACTCTTAATAAAACAACAAATGATATGTTTTTAATATATAATATTAAATTATACAAGATTGATAGTTTAACATTAAAACAAAAGACATTTGGAGAATTAAGATTAATAATGAGGGCTTTATATTGGGAGTAATACTACCCTTACAAAGAGGCATACAAAGAGTCATACAAAGAGTCAAATCCAGCCCTTGAAAGAAGGGAAAAAGAGAGAGAGAGAGAAAGAGGCAATTATAAATTTCAAGGGTTTGATTTGACTCTTTGCATGCCTCTTTGTAAGGCTAGTATTACTCTTATATTGGAGTATTTTTTATTTTATTTTTTCAATTAGATTTTCGATTTGTTTAAGAAGAAGAGGTTTGGGTGATAGGATAAAACTAAAAGTAGGAAAGAAAAACTTGTTGTGTTGGTTGGGAAATTATTGCGATTTGAGCCGCCTTTAGCATGACTAGGTCTCGCACCTACTACTGTACTTTTTTTTTTTTTTAATTGAAAATAAGCTAACTAGTCTGCAACGAGAGAAAAGAGACTTTTCTTATTTTTAAATAAATTGAAAAAGGTTTGAGATTTTAGAAATAAGAACTCGAAAACTTCAATCTAAAGATACTAAACTATAAGTTGTGTAATGTGGGAATTATGAAATGGTGAAGATTCACGGTGTTTTCTAACGCGTGACTTGTTATATTTTTGTTTTGAAAAATTATAGTCCAAGTTGCCGCAGCCTTCAGATCCAATGTGCCACTGCCACATCAACATTATTGAATTCAAAGTCCAATACCATGGAATTTACTCAATCAATACGTGTATTTTGAATGAATTTGAAGCACGTGGAATATCTAATTACGTATATAAAAATTTGAAGTATTAAAACTTAGTTAGGGTCGTGATTGGCGTAATAACTGACCATACATTCATCATGTAATAGTAGGTTGCCTAACTCTCTGTGATTTTATTTTATTGGTCTATGGATGACATGTTACCATTTTATCTTAAGTGTTAGACATTTTGAATAATCAAAAGAGTAGGTGGCACAACTTTAAATGTTGCGTTAAAATGCCGATGAAACTTCACAGCTGTCACATTTCAATTTACTCTTACAATTCCCATTTGTGTTAACTCTTTTTTTCTCTTTCGGGAAATTTTATGAATACTCAAACAGGGAGATTATTCTCATAAATTACTCAAGATCTTCTTGCCAAACTTTGACTTCATTATTCAATCCTTGCTCTTCCTCACGTTTTATACACAACCATCACGCTCTTTTACCTCCCTTTTATAACTCCGATTCAAGAGGGTTTCTCGTGATTTTCTTTTACTGTTTTATGTTCAACAGATCTTATTCATATTCATTCATCAGGTACGTTTTAGTGCAGTTCAATAACTTCTTTCTGTTTTGTGGGGTTTCACTATTTTTTCGTGATTAAAACGATATATTAAAAAAGTGATGGTTGATTCAATTGTTCATTTTCTTTTAATGTAAGAAAGGACAGTTATGTTGTGTGTGTGCACTGGGGATTCGTATTTTTGTGATTTAATTAAGGTTTTGGTTTTGAGTCAAAAAAGAGGCACATGGTTACGTGATTATAAAGCTCTGAAATTAAGGTTTGAATGGGTTTCTTGGTTGGTGTTGGTTCGTTTGTTTCTTCATGATCCTGTCGTTTTGTCAAATTCAGCACATGTTTTAGCTTGATTAGTAGAGTTAAGAGTTGCTTGTAGAGGATTTTGTGGAGGGAGCACATGATTGCTTGTGTTTTGGTTTGGTTTATTTTTTGTGTTTGAGGAGTTCCTGCTGGTTGATCGGTTGAGTATAGATTCTTCAATTAGTTACTTTTTGAAGTCTTTCTTTTTGTACGACTGTGATACTATAATCATGATGGAATTTTTTTTTTTCATTTCAATAACATGAATTTGGTATGTTGGATTTAGTTGAGAAGAGAGTAGGTGTGAGATAGAGACGATGCTCAGAAGCTCTTTTGAAAGTCAGAAGATTGTAAATAGAATGGGAAACGCGGCACGCAGGTTTAGTTCTTTTCGATGTCTTATTTCACTAAAAGAGTTTGCTTATATTTTTGCTTTTATTATTTCTTTTTGGGAAAAAATTTTGCCGGGATTTTCTATGTGGTTGGTTTGATATTGTTTCTTGTTGGCAGTTGGGCTAGTAGAAAACCAAATGAGAGTATGAGGCTTATAGTAACAACATTTGTGGGAGTAGTTTTTGGCTTCTTGATAGGAGTATCTTTTCCGACATTGTCACTAACTAAGGTATTTAGAACTTTTGATTTCTTTTATTTTACTCTTTCATAATTTCCTTTTTGTTTACGTGTATATTCCTGTTATTGCAATTGTACGACTAATTTTAGCCTGATGAGTAACATTATACATTTTTTCTGAATTTGGCAGTTGAATCTCCCGTCTAGCCTTCTTCCTACTTTGGATCTTTCCTATAATGAGGACCATAGATCAGGCCTTTCAACCCAAGCCGTTTTGAATGCATTGAATTTGAAGAATGATAAAAGCTCAGCTCGCAATGGGAGTTTGAATGATACATCAAAGGTATGGTATCTTTCTTTACATGATGTCCAGGTAACAGGTTTTACGTGACTTGAATATTTTCATAGCAATGGCCCTACTGCTATTTCAGAGTTTTGTCTCTGGTGAGCTTTCTAAATGCTTGGTTGGGGTTTACACTTAGTTGAGTTTAGTATTGATAATTGCATCGGAGATTCTTGCTCTGTTTTACAACAGAATAGTTTCTTGGGGTTGGATAGAAACTTACAAACTGCTTGCTTTGAGTCCCCTGTAAACCCTGCTGCTCTGGAAATGCTATCTTAACTGCACAAAAGTAGCAATTGCCTTTTTCTTTTCCCTTAAATTCTTCCCTGAGAGCATATCTTTACCAGCTAATTTTATGATTGTGCCACAGCTTATACATGGTTGGCATGCACAACAGGAAGATGGTAGGCACATGAAAGAAGTCAAAATAGGATAGAGTAGAAATTTAAATTGAAGTTTCTTATAATAGTAAAGATTTATTTTCTGAAATAAGAGATCATTTTTTAATTACAGCACCTGTCTTTCCACCACCACCATAGATGACAAACTAACCTTGGAAGAAAATATACCATGGTAGGGATCAGATGTGCTGAAATAATTTGTGGAGGTACTATGGTGACTTATGCTTTGAGAAGTTGCAATGCCCTTACTGTGTCCGGGATTTTGAAAATTCCTTTAATCTCTAGTACCAGCGACATCTCCAGGAGCTTGATCTTTTAACTTCTCCAACTGGAAAATAAGAATCATACACTGCCCTGCCTATCTTGCCAATATTAATTTGATAACTCTTGCTTTTAGTGTTTTAAATTTGTTTGTAAATTCGTTGCTGCATGCTTGGTCTGTTTTATTATCAAGTTTGGATAACTTTTGTCATCCTTAAATAATGTGTCTTATTTTACAAATACTGAAGAAATTCTTTTAGTACAAAGTTCAGAATTTTTTGAACCACTATTTTGAGCTTCTTTTCTAACTCTGCCACAGATTTGGGTCCCTACAAATCCTCGAGGTGCAGAAAGACTACCACCAAAAATTGTTGCAGCTGAGTCAGATTTCTACTTGCACAGATTGTGGGGTAATCCTAATGAGGTATGTAAAAATCACTTGCATATGCAACGTAATGTTTATTTTCACTCTATTCTTTGGGTGCGAATTCAGAGAAGGCACCAATGGAGATGTCTTGATGTTTCTCAATATTATTGTTTTGCTGGCAATGACATATATCTGATAAAATGGGCATATCCAGGATTTGACGAGCAAACCAAAGTATCTTGTTACCTTCACTGTTGGTTACAACCAGAAAAATAATATTGATGCAGCAGTTAAAAAGGTTAGTGTCCCTTCATCCTCTCCTTGCCTTTTTTCTCCGTCTTTTTGTGCTTGTGACACTAAATATCTGTCTCAAACAGTTCTCGGAGAACTTTACAATTGTTCTATTTCATTATGATGGACGAACTACTGAATGGGATGAGTTTGAATGGTCAAAAAGGGCTATTCATGTGAGTGTTCGGAAGCAGACTAAATGGTGAATATTACTACTTTCCAAAATTTTAAAGTCATGACTTTAATTTCAGATTTTACTTGTAGGCTTGAATACGTGTGAGTATTTTCTATGTTTAAAATCTCGTTTTCTGGGATTTTGTCCTAGGTGGTATGCAAAGCGGTTTTTGCATCCTGACATTGTGGCGGCATATGACTACATATTTATCTGGGATGAAGACCTGGGTGTTGAGCATTTCAATGCAGAAGAGTGAGTGTCGGATGCAACATAACTTTTCTATTGATAGTCCAGTTGCCGTCTACTCAACTTTGTTATTTCCTATTTATTTAATTTTCAGATACATAAAACTAGTGAGGAAGCATGGTTTGGAGATTTCACAGCCCGGTTTGGAACCTAACAAAGGGTTGACTTGGCAGATGACAAAGAGAAGAGGTGATAGTGAAGTCCACAAGTAAGAATGAAGGATTGGATGATTGTCCCATATTCTTATAATATAGATAGTTTTATCAAATGATGAATTAACATTTGATTTCATTTTTGCTGAATTCATAAGAGTGACAGAGGAAAAACCAGGCTGGTGCTCTGACCCACATCTACCTCCCTGTGCAGGGTATGGCAGGCATTGAATTTTCGTATGGTATATACTTTGACTCTCCACTCCACTATTTCCTAATCGGATAAATTATTGCATGCAGATTTGTTGAGATCATGGCTCCGGTATTTTCTAGAGATGCTTGGCGGTGTGTTTGGTATATGATTCAGGTATTGAGGGTTGTCTTCCCTTTTTCATTTAATTCTTAACTAGTCAACAATTATCTCATTAGCCAGTTGGTTATTATTACGATTTTATTAATTTTCTTTGTAAATTGTAGAATGACTTAGTCCACGGGTGGGGTCTTGATTTTGCCCTCAGAAAGTGTGTTGAGGTTGGTGAACTGACTTGTATTGTTCTCTCTGGAGGCATGCTGCTTCTAAAGTTTGAATTAAGCTTGTTATTAATATTATTGAACTTTCACTTGAAAACAGCCTGCCCATGAGAAGATAGGGGTTGTAGATTCACAGTGGATTGTTCATCAAACGGTTCCATCACTTGGGAGCCAGGTAATCTGGCTACCTCCAATCCCTCCATTTGTTTTCAAATGTTAAATGTTTACTGTGCTGAAATACAGAACTTGTTATTTTTAACTTTGGATAGGGAGAGACACAAAACGGAAAGGCACCATGGCAAGGGGTATGTAAAAAAAACCTTTCTTAAATAGTTGTCTTTATTATTATTATTATTATTATTATTATTATTGTAATGCAAGTGGGCATGTTGGTTTTATTGGTATTGAAAAATGAAAATTGTGTCTCATATATAAATTGATGGCAGGTAAGGGAGAGATGTAGAAAAGAATGGACAATGTTTCAAAGTCGGATGACAATTGCTGAAAATACTTACTTTAAGGCTCTGGGAATTGATCCTAACAATTCCACTGCTCATTAGGAAACATCCGTCTCATCAATCCATGTACATGTTGACTGTACACAACCCCATCGTTATAGAGTGTTACACAGTATATTTTGTAGAATTCTAATATCATTATTAGAATGTAACATTATTCAATTAAATAATTCATTAGTTTCATATTCACAAAAATAGATGTCCAGTTTCCAATAGTTGAATGGTTGTTTACAATGATGTAAAAATGGTAGAGGGATTAATATCACATGGGCTGGGACCAAAATTCTGTCAGCCTAAATTACATTTTCAGGACAACTGCATCCAGAGAATTCCTGCTACAACTGGTGTCCCCTGAGATACAATTCCGAATCTACTACACATCACATCACAAATCAGATGTTTCAGGAAAAAAGTTTTTTCTACAGATAATTCATTATTTACAGTGCCTTTCTCATGTCACTCAACCTCAGGAGAAAACAAAAATTATGCCTAAAAATTTATATGGCAGGCTGCCAGTTTGAGGAAACGTGATGTTCTGCCGACTACAGATATAGAAAAAACAGGGCAGAGAAAATCGAATTAAATTTGGTTGGTGTCAGGGTCTCTGATGTCTTAGTTTTGAACTGTTAGATTTGATCAGTATATAAATTCTACTTTGGGATTATGAACAAAATTGAAGGCTAAAACGCAGAATGAACAAATACCATACGCGGTTCCGGTAATCAAGAAACTTCTTGAGTTTGGACTGAAACTGAAAGGTCACTGTCCATTACACTGCCACGAGGCACCACCTCATTAGCCAATACGGACACGTGGTTCCAGCAAGTTACCCTTCCTGTTTCAGTGAAAAGCCAGCACAACCAGTGTTTTTTCACTTCATTATCAATCACAATCTTTACACGTGTACCCACTGACCCCACCATGGTTAGCCCATTTAACTAGAGTTAACCTAGCCCCTGTATTTATCATTCAACTCCAAGTTGGGTTCTGTTAGTGAATTCTTCTTTCAGACTGTTTTGTGGAAGTAAATTGCTTGCTTCCTTCTTTGTTTTCTCCTTCTCTGTATCCATACCCACCCACCTCTTCCAACAAATTTAGTAAAGATTTGTTTTTTCTATCTGGGTTTTCGAGAACAAAGAAGAAGAAGATGGGGCTTTCAAATTTTCCTAGTGCAGCCGAAGGGATGCTACCTGTGCTAGTAATGAACACGGTTTTATCAGTGGCTTTGTTGAAAAACATGGTGAGATCTGTGATTCAAGTGATGGGTGGTACATGGAGTAATCCTTCAAATCTAGAGGATGAAAGTAGTGATGGATTTAGTAACTTTAACTCACTAGAGAATGCAAGAGAAAGAAGAATATCAATAACACAGTTCAAGTCTTTGTGTATTGGAAGAAATAATAGGAATACTAGTGTTGGTAGCAGTGTTACAGTGGATTGTTGTGTTTGTTTAAATGGATTTGAAGCTGATGAGGAGGTGAGTGAATTGTCCTGCAAGCATTTCTTCCACAAAGGTTGTTTAGACAAATGGTTTGATAATAATCACACTACTTGTCCTCTTTGTCGATCTATTCTCTAATATATTATCAGTTATTTAGTGGGTTGAGTTTTGTAGGAAACAATATTTGTACTTTACAGTTTCCTGTACGTTCTTCTTTTTTTTCTCTCTTCATGTTTAATTTTTGTGCAAATTGGAGAAAGTTGAGTTTAAAGCTTTCCCTTTTGCTATATTGTGTCTGTTAACAATGTGTACCAACAAGTACAAGAAGATGCAATAATAAAAGAATGAAGAGATTGAAGTGTTTCAAAGTTTCTACATACTTGTTTTGTGTAGTTCATCTTCTTACTAGAGTCCCTTTATTGGTGTAATGCAAAAACCCTTTGTGGATAAGTATCTTTAGAAGTGTCAATGTAATCCATGAAAATTTCTGAAAAAGCTGCCATTTTTATGTTTATTGATGGGCCTGTACTTCTGAAAACTAGGAAACCTCGTTTTGAAATCTCCATTACAAAAAATGTTTCTTCTTGTAACAATCTTTGAAACCGTGCTAACTAAACTTAGTTTTTGCCCATCGCCCCAACAGAACGGTTAACAGAAATCCACTATATGGTTACTTAACACAGGGAGTAGGACTCTTCTTAGATTCTCAGCGATATGATGTTAGTGTAAAAAGCCATAATTCTCCAAAGACAAGACTCGAACTCTAAAGAAGAATCAGAAGAAGCTAGTGGGGAAACCAATATGAGGTGCAAAGTCTTGCTCTCAAATTAAATACAACTTTTAAATCTTGGAGTCCTGTTAATTAATTTAATATATTAAGATCAATGGTTGATTAGTTGAGTTGTGGACAGAGAGCCGCACTCTGGGGCCCCGAAGCTGCTTAAATATATTATCATTGGCCACTAACCTTTAGATCAAAAGGGTTCTAATTCTTTGTGGATTAAACTAGGAAATGAAAATGATACTCAAAGCCTTGAAAGCATGAGAACTTAAAGTTCATTTAGCATGGGATTTTCTCAATATATTATTTAGTGGTTAGATTGTTCCGCATGCCATGACAGAGAGCTATACAGGAATAATCTGAAATTGAAATACAAGGACATGGAGTACTGTTTGTATAAACTATAATACATGTAATCAAATTTTGCAGGAGAGGCGAGCATAAACAAAATACAAGTTAACCCTATATGGTTATTTAAGAAATCATAGACAAATATTGTATAGAACTTAAATTCAAATGCTACAAAAGGAGCTTTGATGCCTTATTTAGCATGGTAATTTTGTATTGGCACACAAAATAACCATGATCTATATCACCTAGATTATTGATGGCTCAATACTATGACCTTCTGTAAACAGAACTTCTCAGGCATCAGCTTCAATAATCGAAATTTTCCATGGTCTTGTTTATCTTAAACTTGTTATGCTCTAGCTTAATAAACTCTTCAGCTTCTGAATCAACGTTTTCTTTGACTTTATGATTATGATCTTTGGCCTTAGCATGATGCACTGGGGCTTGCTGGTACTGCATCTCATTGGGAGCTTGCTCGTACTGCATCGCACGAATTCCCCTCGGATTCACGAGCATGAAACCCCCATACTTATCGTTGAATGTCTCATTACCATAAGAATACTGAGCTTCGGGATGTCTATGCGGTTGTGGCTTTCTTATGGTTGGATAAACCGGCAAAGCAACTGGATTCGCAAGTACGAAACCCCCATATTCATCATTGAATGTCTCTTCACCATAAGGATATTGCTGAGCTTTAGGATGTTTATTTGGCAGTGGCTTTTGAATGGCTGGATAAACCGGCAAAGCAATTGGGGTATCCCAATTCTGATACTGCTTCATGTGATGGTTCTGAGGGCTGCTGTGAAACATTTTGTATAACTTTTTGATTGCCTTGTTGGGTAAGGTGCTGGCTCTGAAACTTAAGTGGTTGTATCTTAGATATTACCAGCACTATGAACTGCAATTTATAGTTTAAGGTCTCAGTTCTGAATGATAAATGGAATCTGATACCCTCTCCTTCTATAGTTATCAAATTTGATCTTCATTCAATTTTGTGGACGGGAATAAAAATGTGGACAAATTTGTTTCCTTATATTTGCTGCTCGTGATCTTATTGGGGAATAAGGAACTTTTAAAGCACTTTCTACTTTATTTATTCGCAATTCGAATATCCAAAATAAATTTGACAACTTGCAGAAGAAGCATTCTCAAAATATCGATCTTATCCTGTCACTTCAGCAGTCAGTTCTAGAATTTGTTGCTTGGTAAGTTAGATTGAAGTTAATATATGGAGATGGTGTAATTTCATCATGTCATGTCATGCCAAGCATGACCTCAGTCCTTACGAATGGCATGGGTACATGAAGTAGACTTGATTTTTACTGTACTAAAACCGGATAGCAAATTCTCTCGTTAATTGCACTGAATGAAAAGAGATTTAAGACAACTTCACTTCTGAATTAACTGCTGGAAGATGTTTGTAAATTTATTTATGTATTTTGCTTATTAAGCTGCAAATGCACGTTTTGATAAGTACATCACTAACCACATAATTATAACTTTTACAATATCATGCAGAGGTTTTAGTACACTGGAAAAGAGAAAACACCAGAAGTTTTATTTGGATAAATATGGCTATCTTGGACTGATCTAGTGCTCTTGCTTACAGATTCTTCCACTACTGGTAGGCACCATTTTGAATCCCGTTGCTTTGGGTGTGCACCTTCAATTTTACAGTGTTAGTATTGCATGTCTGGTATTCAGCATTCGTCTTGATGTTGTTAGATACAAGAGTGTGAGAGAACTGAGGGGCATTGTAGCCACTGGAGGTGGCAATTTGCTGGCCTGAGGCATGACACGTTTCTCGTATGGCGGATCACCCACCATGATTATGCATATTGTGACCATTATATATAACCATTTGGGTGTTGTATTTGCCATGCCAAACGTCCAGATGAGGAGTATTGTTTCCACTGAACATGAGGAGCTTTGAGAACTGTGAAGGGACATGCCTGAAGGACGAGTCTGATATTCATTTTTCGTCCCATAATTGTCTTGATGCACGGCATACGTCTGCTGATCATAACCATAGCTATAATTGATGTTTTCCTCAAAACTCACAACAAAGCTCCAAGATTAATTTCTGGGTTCTGCATTTCTTTGTAATTCCAATGTGATTCATAGAACGAGTTTGAAACCGATGGGAAAGCTCAAGATTTTAAGTACCGTGTTCTTGAGAATAATAATTGGCATGGGAAAGGCTCTGTTTTCATAATCAAACAGAGTGAACAACTGACACAACTAATAACATGAAATCATTATATAGTTTTATGTGTAACAGTGCTTCAACCCAAACAAAAAATGAAGCTTTAGTGATCATGAGGAACGTGGAAACCGAGTTTTAACTTGAAATCAGCAATAAAATGCAGTCATGCTTCTCTTTTCTCATGCCCTGCTCTAGTTTATGTGAACACACTTCTTGCTTGAAAAGTCCAATCCTTAATTGCTTACAGAAGATGAAGTCTTATGTTAATGGTTCCTCCGATTCCGCCTGATGGTGGGCTCCAGTCAAGGTATCAATCCCCATCCTTTCCAGACGTGAAAAGCTCTATCACATTGCCACCTCTACTGCCAGAGAGGAAATCGATTCTTTGTGAAATCACTTAACAAGATAGGGATATTGCATTTTTCTTACATCATTTGACTTAAAAGCAACCATGGAGCGAGTCACTAAGAGCTGTCATGAATAAAAACTTCTAACAAAAATAATCAGGAGTTATAAAAGTGTATTATAGGTTAGACAAAAGCTCACATTAGTTAATTATGATAAGTTAGGAGTACACCACCAATAACTTTATGACAGCAAAATTAGTCCAATACAAATTAGAAAAATCTGCAACCACTTAAACAAATCCAAGACTTGGGTGTGCAAAGATGGACGTGACATCCATTACTAGAGCAAATGCTGTTTGACCTGTGGAATTTCTTCAATTAAAAAATGAAAAGAAAAAGAATAAAAGTACAACCAAAAATGGTTGTCCTCTGGTATGGCATCCGACATTCAAAGAAATGCAATTTTAAACTTTGTATCTTTAATCAAATAAACCTTTNAAATCTGCAACCACTTAAACAAATCCAAGACTTGGGTGTGCAAAGATGGACGTGACATCCATTACTAGAGCAAATGCTGTTTGACCTGTGGAATTTCTTCAATTAAAAAATGAAAAGAAAAAGAATAAAAGTACAACCAAAAATGGTTGTCCTCTGGTATGGCATCCGACATTCAAAGAAATGCAATTTTAAACTTTGTATCTTTAATCAAATAATCCTTTAGAAGCAACATTATGAACAAGAAATGGTCTAAAAGCAATCAGATGGTACAAATTAAGGAGTTTAATGAAACATGTATAAATAAATGTCTCAAAACAAAACTTCCCAACATGGGGACATCGCAATGTCAAGAACCTCAAACTACTTTTTTGGTATATTTGGGAATCAGAAACACCGGTGCTAAGTTACATAACCCTGAAACAACTTAGCTCTTCCCATCACAGTAAGGTCTCCCCTCAGTGAATGGGTATGCTTCACCATGAATAAAAACCCAAATACAGAAGATATATACAAAAATTCACCCTAGAAGTTCCAAGAATTTGTCCAGCTCCCCAGACATATCCCAATGAATTACAAGAATTCACCTGGACTTATGTCATAGCTACGTCAGTAACACACCAGTCATAATTGTTCCACTAAACCCTTCATGAGGAGTCACAACAAGCACCTCCAACTAATCTTTACAAAGAACAGACATCTAAACTTATTTAAGATTGTCACCCACTTTCTCGTAAGCAATTCCCAGGCAAGAGAAATTTGTAATTCTCTGCATTTTCCAAAAGATATGATGGTAGATGAACTGCTGAGAAAGAATGAGGTACTGGTCCCATTTTCCCAATGATTTCCTTGAATGTGTACTCCTCCGGAAGCATATCAAATAAATCAGCCCCCTTGCAGATTACTCTCTGAATTCTTTTATGGTTCAAAAAATAAGAGAATCTAACTCTGTCAAAGTGGCTGTATGCTTTCATTTTAAATGTAAACTCATTGATATGGCGGAAGCAAAAGCTACAATGCCACCCTGCATCTGCTAAGATGTC